TTTTGTTGAAGGTGGTTGCGGTGGTGGTTTCGTGGGGGTTGGTTGCGAACTGGTTTCGTGGGGTTGGTTGCGGACTGGTTTAGTGGGGTTGGTTGCGGTGGTGGTTTCGTTGGGGTGGTAGTGGTGGTGGTGAAGCCGACGGTGGTGTTGGTGGAGGCGACGGTGTTGTTGGTGGAGGCGACGGTGTTGTTGGTGGAGGCGGCGGTGGTGGTGGCAGTGGGTGGTTGATTTCTTTAAACATTCTCTTTCCACCTTAATTACATACTCCTATAATATATTAATCACCATTATACTTCCTCTAATATTTGCCCCTTAACTTTTGCCTCGTGAATCGCAATTTGCCCCAAAGTTGCAAATAAAAATTAACGGAGGGAGTATATAAATAAAGTAGGCATTTTTTAAGAGCATTTGACGCCACATAAGCAAAGACATATTTTCGACCAATTAAAAATTAGATTTCTATCACTACTAGAAATAGGCTGGATTCCGACGGACTAAAATTCCCTCGGAAAATTCGAATTTTCCAACGGAAATTAGATCTATCGGAAAATGTTAGTTCCGACGGAAAATCCCTCGAAAATATTCCGACGGATTTTTTTCCCTCGGAATTTACTGCTTCCAACGGAAATTTCCCTCGGAAAATTGCTTCTCTGACGGAAATTTCCGTCGGAAGTGGTCAATTCCGAGGGAAAAACATCCGTCAGAACATATTAATTTCCTACAGATTTTGAATCCATAGGAAAATTCCGAGGGATTTTAATTTCGTCGGAAAGTTCCGACGGAATTTAAGCTTTTCCGACGGATTTTATAATTTTAAAAAAAAAGATAAAAAACGATACAAAAACCCAAAAACCCTAAATTCCCCCTTCCCTTTTCATTTCTCTTTTCTCTCTCCTCTTTCCGCCTCTTTCCTCTTTTCTTCCTCTCTGATTTCCTCTCCTCCTTCATTCTATCTTCTTCTCTTTCTTCCCTGCTATTCATCTTTTTCTCACTCTCGCACCGTCAACAACAACTACAAACCGCTATAATCGACAACAACTCCGACAATGAAAAGGTTATTGATGGTTAAAACGAAGGTTTTCAAGTCAAATTCGACCATGAAAACTCTAGATCTAGAGTTTTCATGGTCGAATTTGGCCTCGTAAACCCAATTTCAAGGTTTTGTGTGATCGAATTAAGGTACGTAACCTTTTTTTTCATTAATTTGTTGTTAGATTTTTGAGTTTTTTCGGTTGTTTTTTTCGAATTTTTTGATGTTTTATTGGGTGGGTTTCGATGTTGGGTATGGGTGGTGAATTTAGGTGCTGGGTGTGGGTGGTGGTTTAAGGTGGGTTTCGGTGTGGGTGGTGGTTTAAGGTGGGTTTCGGTGCTGGGTGTGGGTGGTGGTTTAAGGTGGGTTTCGGTGCTGGGTATGGGTGGTGGTTTAAGGTAGGTTTCGTTGTTGGGTGTGGGTGGTGGGTTTCGGTGGTGGTTTGTAGATCTGGCGGCTAAGGTGGTGGTAGTTGGTGGTTGGGGAGGCGTGGGTGGGTTCAGTGGTAGCTGGTGGTGTGGGGAAGCGCGGGTGGGTCTGGGTTAGGAGGATCTGGGCTAGGTGATACGTGGGTCTGGGTTCAGTGGTGGTAGGTAGCGCTGGGTGGTCTGGGCTTAGGGTTAGAGTTAGAGGGTGGTGGAGTGGTGGTGAGCAGGGCTGGGTTTTTTTTTTTTTCTAATGACGTTTCCGACGAAAAATTCCGTCGAATATACTATTTCCGACGGAATATACTTCTTCCAACGGGAAATTCCGTCGGAATATAACTTATACCGACGAAAAATTCCGTTGGAACATTGTGACGGACTTTCCAAATAAGTCAAACTTGACTCCGACAGAACAAAATCCGTCGGAAAGGTCCATTCCGACGGAATATTGTGAAATTCTTACAACATGTATGCGACGGTGCCTTCCGACGGAATTCCGTCGGAAATAGGCGTTTCCGACGGAATTTGAGGGTTTTCCGACGGATTTTTTCCGTCGTTGATTGCCTATTTTCTAGTAGTGTATTTTATTTTGGATTCGTTTGCCACCTAAACAAAAGTGACGAATGAGATTTAAGAAATTTGTCACGTAAGTAAAAACAACGAATATTGATTTATTAGGATTTAATTTATTTAAAAAACTAAAAAATATCTTTTAAAATAATCATCTTTAGATATAGAATTTATATACATACTATTATAAGATAAATTTTAATAGTTTTTATGATAAGAAATAAAAATTATTCCTTGATTATAATTAAATTAAAATTTGTGATATTTACCATTATAAATCGATTTATCATATGACACCAAGAAATTTCATATCAATACAAAACCAAACCAAGCAAATTTTGTGTCATTAATTTTGTGTCAGTTTTATTAGGTCATCAATGGCTAAGTAATTCTTAGCCTAATTTTTAAAAACCATGTTTAAATGTATATTTGTGATTATTGCTTAAATTGTGTTTATTTGGGATACTTAATGATTATATGTTTATGTTTTGTTTACTGAATTTTGTTTTTACATGCAGATCTAATTTAATCAGAGAATTATATTCGAGCAAAAATCTTTGGAATATTAAAGTACGAGTTTCTCGCCTGATGATCCTATTAGATGAAGAGGTATTATATCTTTATAAATCGTTTACATTTACTAAATCTTTTAATGAACCTTTTTGTTTTTAACAATTAATTTTATGATTAATTTTTTTTTTATGATTTAGGTAGCTTAATTAAGTCATAAAATTAACTTCATTTTTAATTTTTAATTACAGTGTGATTACGTTCATACATCAATTAAAGTCAACTTTGTTCTATAATTTTGTTCAAAATTGATTATTATTATTTTATTTTTATTTTTGATTTTGTTCTACGAATAATGATTTAGGATTTAAATTATTTTAAAAATAAAAAATTATTATCTTTTCACATCAAAGATTTTATCCTAATATCTAATCAATGAAATATCATATTTACAATTTTTTTTTTGTAAGAAATCATATTATTGTCATTTAACTAACAACAAATAAAATACAAAACAACAATAAATTAAGTCGCATTGTAAATTACATTACAAAATTATACTGTTGTAATTGGCAATATCATTTTAATTAAATTATTATTTGTTTTTTTTTTGTCTGAAATTATTAAATTGTAAAATAAATCAAATAATTATAAAAAAAAAACACTTAGATTATATAGGAAAATATATTTTCTTGAGATATATGTATGACAATTCGTGCATTGCACAACATTATTTCGACCAATTAAAAGTTAGATTTGTATTTTATTTTAGAATTAAAAAATTCACTCGCCACATAAGCAAAAGTGGCGAATGAAATTTAAATTTTTTGCCACGTAGGTAAAAACGACGAATAATGATTTATTAAGATTTAAATTATTTTTAAACTAAAAATTATCTTTTTTAAAAGATGATCTTTTGATATTAGGATTTGAATTAAAAAAAACTGTAAATTATACAATTACTATACACAAACTCTTTAAAATTAAATATTTGAAATAGGAAAATATATGTTCATTTTGTTTTTAAGAAAACGTTCAATCAATTTTTTTTAAATTATTTTAAAAGAAATATAAATTATTAATCATTAACTAATATTCTTCAATTTTTTTAAAAAAAATCAATATTCTATAAGATAAATAAATAACAATAACGTTCACTCTTTATCAATATTCTTCAAAAAAAAAAAAAAAAAAAAAACAATAAAGTTGAATTTTTATCTTATCTAGCAACCCATTTCATGATTAGATAAAATTTTTTATAAGAGATTTATTTGCTACTCCACAAATATATAAGATAGGATGATATTATAAAGATTTGTACACATCTTTTTAAAAATATAATTTTGATTTTTTTTTTCAATTGTAGATAGACAATATATATATATATATATATACTATACAAAAAACACAAACATGTGAATATTATTTATCATAATGTAAGTATATCAAGGCTTTCTGATGGTAAACAAAATAAATTGATTGATATTCATTATTTTATAAGATGTATGTTTAGTTTTATTTTACCTAATCTAATTATGTTACTTATTGTATAAATTTTGTTAAACAACTTAATTGTAACTTAATATTAATTATTTTGTATTTGAAAGGATTATGTCCATGTTCCAATTGAAAGAAATTATTGGAAAAGTAAGGGTTTGTTCTCTTCAGCTTATTTTCAATTCAGTTCAATTCCTAATTTTCTTCTCTCATAAAATATTCAGTTCAGTTCAGTTTCAATCAGTTCAGCTCAGTTCAGTATATAGGCCCTAAGTCAACTATAATGTTACAATAGTAGGGGAAAAAAATTAAAGATTGTAAGAGATGTCTCTGATAAATTTGATTTTTTGTGTATTATAGTTTCTGGTAGAATATCTATATTATTATTGTAAAAATTATTGTAGTAGTGTATACATATAACTCTATAATTAAGACATATGATAATGAAATTTCATTATAAAGATTTATTATTATTATTATTATTATTATTATTATTATTATTATTTTTTTTTATTTTTTTTTTTATTTCTTTTTTTTAGAATAGAGAAAGTTATTATTATTATTATTATTATTAATTTCTTTGGTATATTCAAATTTTTTATAATAATAATAAGAATAATAATACTAATAATTTACTCTCCTCTGCCAGAAGCTTGAAAGTACAGGGTCTTACAAGCCTTGCATAACAAGCTAACCCTACAAAAATTTTGGAAACTAATCAAAACTACTTAGCATTATAATCTTATCCTTTAATATCCCAAATTTTATATATTATATCCTACTAATTCATAACATCGGCATATATATTGCACTCTTATTATACAAACCACCAAAAGCTTACCTTTATTATTCCATCAATTCTAGCTCTTTCAATATCACCAAAAAAATTATTTGCGAGACTATAGTATTCTGGTACGGACATTGTACAACACAAACCACTTTCGATCATTAGCATAATTAGTTAAACAATGTCATCATTAAGCCATGATTATCAACAACTCGGTGAACCATATTTTGATAATACTCCTGCCTTGGAAGATTTTCTCGTGTACATGGAAGATTTAATGGAAATCAGGTACAACAGAGTGTACCTTATGCCCTTGAGCGAGACGAGAAGAATTGCCACCATAAGTCGCTTCTTAGAGTTACACACATTTATCATAGATGGCCTCGCCCGAGACATGCTTGCAGATGGAGTAATAATACCGACGGGTGTGGTGCCTGCAGACGAGTCATTCGTGGCAAGTTTGGAGATCAAGAAAGCTAGTGAAGAGTTGGCTAATAGCGGTGAAGTTTGTTCGGTTTGTCTTGAAGGGTGGAAAATAGGAGACGATGTTAAGTACTCGCCTTGTAAACATTGTTTTCATCCTGGTTGTGTTGATAAGTGGTTCAAAATCAATCACTTCTGTCCACTTTGTCGATTCGAGTTGCCGGCGGCGAAAAATGTTAGAGGTGTTTGATCTTAGAAACTTTGTACGTACAAAGACATACGAGTACTAGTATCTTTCGTATTTATATGATAAAATTTGTTATTTTATTTGTTGTGTCTAGTATATTATTTAATACTAGGTGTGAAGCCCGTGCGATGCACGACTTTGATAATTTTTTTTATTATTATTATTAAAATTATGATTCAAATAGGTATGATAAATTTATTAAACTTGGGTTATTAGAATATAGAGTTTTCTCAAGTTTATCTTTTATTAATAAGATCATTATTAAAATTATACATAAGTATCATTTTGTAGAATTAATCATAACAAAATTAAAAGGATGAAGACCTACTATTGTAAATTTCTCAAGTTTATCTTATATTCAATAAGATTATGATATAAAAATTATACATATTTTTTTTAGTGCAAATTTTTTAAGTGTTTTTTAATTATGATAAACATTAATATGCACGTTATTGACAACTATATAACATACTCTATAGTCTTGAGTTGGTGATGATGTTGTCTTCGCCCACCACTTAGCACCATTAAGCTACTTAATCACATTTTTTTTAATTTTAATTTTTTATAATTAATCCTATCTTCTTCATTAATCAACCGATAATGATTACTAATTGTCCTAAATTAGCGTTTAGGGAGAATGAATTAGTATTATGGTTTAATTAATACGAAATACTATTGATATCTTGTTTTAGCTTTATGTTTTTATATATATATTTTTTTTGGATTTGTTATATTCGTAGTAATGATTTAATAAATATTCTCTTTACCTACATTTTTTTACCATTAATTTATAAAATAATTTTATTCTTGGTTTTTAATCTAAGCACGGCTTTGTTTTTATTATTATTTAAGATTTGTATCTTATTATGTAATAATAATTTATTATTATCATTGGTAAACTATTAAAATTGATATAACAATTCAAAAACAAAGGTAAACAAAAGTATTAAGTATATGATTTGCTGTTAATAATAAAATATATATAAAAGAAAAACTAAAAAGCTAACATAAGTATTATTTGTTACGTTACTATCATCTAAATTTCTATTTCTTGAATATGGTGTTTTATTAGGTTTCGAGAGAATCCTTGATTCATAAAACTAAACCTGCATCATACACAAAATAAACAAATTAAAGTGTTAATATTAGTATAATATTAAATAACATATAAGATGAAATTAGAAATAGTAAGAAATATCTAAATGAATTATATATATTCCAAAAAATATATACATTTATCTTCTTTGATGTGATTTGGTCGGATGAATCATGACCCTTTTCCGTTGAATCGATATTATTAAAAAGGCGTTTTGCGGTTTCTTCGATGACTGTAACTTCATCTTTTGAAGTATCTTCATTATTTTTTATGACATCTTTATTCTACATCAAAATCATTTATGTAATTTTTTAAGAAATTAAATTTTAAATTCATGACTTCTAAATAAACATTAAATACTTGTAACAATTATTTAGTACCTCAATGACACTTTAGTCAAAAATTCTCATCACCGTAAAAGTTTGTCGAATTGTTGTACGATTATAAGAGGTGATTTTAACTTTGAACACTAACTCTCTTCCAATGATATTTGCAAAAATGATAACACTGTAGAATTTTTTTTTAAATAAAAATTGAAAATATGTAAATTATATACCAGGTAGTGTTGCATTACTACGGAACTGATCTAAATGTTGCAATTGAACAAAATCAAATCTATGCAACGAAATTTTATTATTATCTGCAATGCCCTTGACAATTGTATTTTGAAAATGTATCATTATTTTGTTATCGCTCACAACACGATATTCATTCTTGTTACGTACAACAGAAAAATATAGAATTGTGTAAACTTTGCCTTCAATTAGTTTCGAACGAAATTGTTGAACAAATTTTCCTTTGATTGAAGCATGGACATAATCACCCTACATATGCAAAATAATATTGTATATTAAAATAATATTGTATATTATTCAATGAATTTAGAACGATAAGTATTATCAATTAAAAAAAATTAATTAAAGGCATACCTCTTCATCAATTAAAACCATGTCCAAACTAATCAAACTATTATGTTTCCGAAAATTCAAAATGTCAAAAAGCGTTGATACGCGTACTTTTATTTTTCAATCGTTTTTGGAAGAATTAAGTTCCTGAATCGACGAAATAGACCTAAGAAAACAATGGAATGAAAAAAAATAGTTAAAAATAATATCACCAATAACTACGATTTGAAAGAACAAAAAATTGAGTTTAAGGAATTAGACCAACATTTTCTTAAACCACAATATAAAATCGTAAATAAACCACAATATAAAATCCTAATTTTTTTTTTATGAAGTATTGTGTGATTATTTGGTGGTGCGTGAATTAAATTATTTCCTATTTATAATAATAACAAATCATAAGCTAATTAAATCAATTCATATTGTCTCAAAAAAAAAAAAAAACAATTTATATCTTTTTCCTAACTTAAATTTTATCATTATTCGAATTGTAATCATTAAAAATTCCTAACAGTCCAAAAAATATGATAAGCATAAATTTTCTTAAAAGGATAAATTTAATAAGTTTTTTTTTTAGAAATAATAATAATATACGTAGCCAATATTAATATAATAGGGATGTAATCTGCTGCTAGAACTATATTGTATTATTTTCGTACATTGAATTGCGTAGTTGAAGTGTTTAACTTGATATGAAAATATATTTGCCAGTTGCTAACTTGATAGGATTACTGTTTAATGTAGCATTTGCATACTCATTTTTCAACACGTAAGAGAAGGCCGGTGCACGTGGAATTTAAGGTAGAAGTTTCTCCATTTGAATATTTTATTATTAATATTTGTATTTACTTTGTAAATAATATTAATACGACATTAATCACAAAAATATCAAATCAAATTAAATCGACAATTAATGTCACATTATCAATTAAGGAATAATTTTTATTTCTTATCATAAACACTATCAAAATTTTAAAGATTAATCCTATATCTAAAGATAATTATTTTAAAAGATAATTTTTAGTATTTTAAATAAATTAAATTCTAAAAAATTAATATTCGTTGTTTTTACTTACGTAGAAAAATTCTTAAATCTCATTTGTCACTTTTGTTTAGGTGGCAAACGAATTTTTTAATTCCAAAATAAAATCGAAATTACGTGGCAAAATTCTTAAACCACATTCGTCACTTTTGTTTAGGTGGCAAACGAATTTTTTAATTCCAAAATAAAATAGAAATCTAATTTTTAATTGGTCGAAAACATACCTTTGCTTATGTGGCGCGCCGAATGCTCTTTAAAAATGCCTACTTTATTTATATATATTAGATTAGATTTTTATTTTAAAATAAATCGTGAATTTTCTCACATTCGTTTTATATTTTTTGATATAATTACTAATCTCAAAAGATAATATAATATATTTAATTAATTTAAACTTTAAAATCTCATTCACCAATTTTGCTTATATGGCATTTAAATTATTTAATTCTAAAAGAATTTACAAATATCTTATTTGATTGGCTATAACTAAAATTTATAATTCTACATGGTGCGTTAAGAAAATTTTATCATACGTGCCTCTCTAAAAACTCAGAAAATAAAATAAAATAAAATAAAATAAACCTCCCCTTTGTTTTGTGCCCGGGCGATGCCCAGATGATTGATAAAATTTTAAGATAACATTTTTATTTGAATGTTAATATATACCGTCATATAATTCGTTATATATGATAATGTAGGATATTCAGACATACGACGATACCATATGGCTTATATTTATATAATAGTCTACTTTTGTAGTTTTGTTTGTAAATAGATATCTATATGTTATTATTGACTTGAAAATACTTATATTGAGCTGAAATTATTTTTACTGAACTTAAAGTATTTTCACCAAACTAAAATTATTTTTACAAATTAAAACTTATTTTTACTGATCCTCTATTTTTTTTTTGTAAATAAATTAAATAACAATGCATTTTGTATGCGGCTAGCCAAACCATCTTGCCTGACAAAGTAACCCCTATAAAACTGGCTGAGTAACCCTTGTAATAATAACTAACCTCTAACACTAACTAAGTAACCCCTATCTATAACACTAATTGAGTAACCACTATAACACTGACCAAGTAACCCCTATAGCACTCACGAAGTAGCTCTTATAATAGTTGGTGACACGGTTTGACCAGCTACATATAAAAGTTTGTGATTAAATATGTTATAAATGACTCTTATTTTAAAGAACTTTTAAAACGAATTTGATGATGGAAATAGAATTGAGTTATAGGATATATATATATATATATATATATATATATATATATATATATATATATATATATATATATATATATATATATATATATATATATATAATATGAAATATATGAAATATTATAAATCTATCGATAATAAAACACTATACGACAATTTTATCTTAAAAAATCTATCCAAAAATTGCTTACTTAGCATCATATGTGTCACAATAATACCTATTCATTGCCTACGTGGCGCGACTCTTGGCGAAAAACTGGAATGCCAAGTGTTGCTGCCTCGTGGCCTGGCTGCGAGACCAATTTTATTTATTAGTGGACTTGTTTTGTGCCCTAACTGATGCCCAGATTGTTTGTTAAATTTTAGGATAAACCTTTTGGCTTGAATGTTAAATACGGTCATATAATCACTTTTGATAATGTAGGATATATATTTAGACATGCAATATAATACTTAAATAATTTTTACTAAACTGAAAGTATTTCTACCGATTAAAACCTATTTTTACTAATTCTCTATCATTTTAAATATATTATAAATGGACCTAATTTTAAAGAACTTTGAAAAATGAATTTTATGATGGAAATAGAACCGAGTTATTAGATTTTTATTAAAAGTTATGATTAATTTTCTATATATGAAATATTAGTAGTGTATCGATAATAAAAGTCTATACAACATTTTTATCTTCAAAAATTTATCCAAACTTCCCTTATTTAGCATCATA